CTGCCGTAATGCGCCAACCGGTTGAAAGCATTCTGAAAACTAAGCAGAAATAAAATGTTGATCCGCCTGTCAGATTTCATTATGCCGTTCTTTATAATGGAAGCAACATCTACGTATCGCATCTTGAGATAACGCTAAAACACCAAACGATCTTTCGATTTCTTAATCCAAACTATTTGACTTTTTGGTAAATTCTGAATTTGACCACAGGGAGCTCTTATCTGCAAGGCAAATAAGCAAACTTCGATCCTACTCGATCATACATTTAGTTGGCAAATATTAAAGGTAAAAACATCACCGACAGTTTATGATTCAAATATTTTTGTATATCTATGTTACTAATGCATTTATCTTCTCATTTTACATGTTCTACTGAGAAACGTTTGGTTGGTATCTTAGCATTGAGACTAAAAACACTTTATTTTACGATCATCTACCCTCAGAGATACATTAAATAGAAATAAAAGGGCCATGACTGCCTGCCAATGTCCGGGCATGTTAATCTTTTGTTTGATCCCACCAAGGTTGCGTTTTTTTGTATTTCTAATAAATTGCTAATAAGATCAATATTACAAGAAAACCAAATTAATCGTTCCTTGCAAAAATTGCGCTGGGACCTATTTTCTTAAAAAACTAGAATGCCTTTTCCGGTTCCAGGCACACCATGCCCTCTAGTGTTAACAAAACATACACTCCCACCATAAGTTTGGCAACCTTTGCTCCCCCATTGAACTACGTGTTAAAGCCTCTTTACTTTTGAATTGTTATTCACTTAACCTGAGGTGAAAACTTTTACTGTTAATGGAAACGTAATTTTACTTTATTTCCAATACCTCCAAATGTTCTCAATTTTTTCCTCAATTACAATAGGTCGAAAATTGATGATAAATTTTGATGAATTTTTGAAAATCGTCATTCCCATGTAAACCAATGGGAAATGGCGGGTTCGGGGCAAATCAGAAATCAGGATATCTATTCAGTAAAAGATTTAGCAAAAAATATTTTTATATAGAAAATTGAATTGTCTAACTTTTTTTGTACACTAAGTGTTTAGTTTACTTGATGAATACTAAAGCTAAAGAGCTTCAAAGTCATTTTTGAAAATCATTTTTCGCTTCCTGTGTTATTTCAATGGGAGACTTTGAAGACCTATAACTTTGTTGAACCCGAAGAAACGTATCAATTTTTTGTTAAATAAAGTTTGCAAATTCAATTGCCTACCCAACTTGTATTTTTTGCAATGACTCGGATGGATGGATCTTCTGCCATATGGCTTGCGGCAAACCAACCATTTCCCATTGGTTAACATGGGAATGTCACTAGTATAGTATTATGTTATTTGTATACTTGTATCTTTCATTTGGAAATAAAAAAAATAAATTTAAAAAAAATAAAATAAATAAATAAAAACAAAAACACGGGAATGTCGATTTTCAAAAATTCATTAAAGGGGCGCGAGTTGTTTGTAGAATGAATCGGGGGATTTTTTTCACGAATTTCGCTTATGTTTTTCATCCAAAAAACATCAATACACTTTAAAACATTTTGTTTACTTTAAGATTACACCATGTAATCCAAAAATATATTTCTCGTTTTCAAAGATAATCCATGGATTAACACCCAGGTAGTTTTATTTTTCAAACTTCAGAGGGCTGGGAATCATTGATGCTCAACGCTTTTGAATACGATAAATGCTGTTTTAAATAGGTTTTACGTATGCCAATAATTTCTCAAATTATTTAAGCTGAATGCATTCCATAATCCCTAGAACATTCTCTTGGAGGAATCCAATGGTAGTTCTAAGCAGATTTTTAGATGGCAGGTACTTATTTATACTTACGTAATTATAAATTGGGCAATATTTTTGACATTTAAGTGGATATAAAGAATTATGGTAACATACACCATGGACCATGCATACACATACAATTACAAATGTGAAAATGTTGTCCCTTTCATTGATTATCGGTATTTATAATCATGAAAATTAGTGAAAAATATCGAGACATATCTACCTTAAAATCTATTTTCATTACACTATACTATAGCCTATAGTTTATTATTATATCACCACCCTTGGAACTGTCTTATATCACATATTGCATGAAAAGGATTTAATGCCATGGCTTTATGAGTTGTAGAATGATTGCACTGAGGATGTCTTGAGTGTGCAAACTCCAGGACAAATAACATGAGTGGATGAAATAATAACAATAATGTGATAATTATCAATTATTATTTTCACATTTTTATTGCAAGAAAATCGTTTTGCAAGGGTTACAATGGTTGAAATATTGTGCTGGCTCTATTTGGCTGGAGTTTAATATTCAGACCTAGCTATGTGTGAATTGATTATCAATCACATTGTACATTATAATGAACATAATAAATAAAACCATGAATGTTGTTCATAAATCAAACTGGAAACACAATCTTCATCAACATCAATTATGGATGGAAAGGCAGTACTTATTTATAAGACATAAATTATTGTAATTGTATGATATCGTATTTGTGATTTGAATATACACTGTGATATTTGAGAAAAAGAATGTTTTGTTTTAGTTTCATTGCAATTTATAACCCTAATATCTTTATGTCACCACCACAAGTGGTGACATATTGTTATGGTCTCAAATTTTTTTGTGGATGGTGTTCAGTGGTTGGTGTTTATCATTTGGCAGTTGGTGTTTGGCAGTTGGTGTCTGTAACAAATGGCAGATGATGACATTTTGCATGTGAATGCCTTGTCTTATAATGTAGCCAACTGCAATGGATGTCAAACGGATACAGTCAACTAATACATTTCTTGGCATCAATTCAAATCATATACTAATTTTAAATGAAAATGCTTTTTTCATGTTTTACCACTCATAAATGCCATAATATCTCGATGTCACATTCAGGAAAATATGGCTAAAACCTATTTAAAACAGCATTTATCGTATTCAAAAGCGTTGAGCATCATTGATTCCCAGCCCTCTGAAGTTTGAAAAATAAAAATACCTGGGTGTTAATCCATGGATTATCTTTGAAAATGAGAAATATATTTTTGGATTACATGGTGTAATCTTAAAGTAAACAAAATGTTTTAAAGTGTATTGATGTTTTTTGGATGAAAAACATAAGCGAAATTCATGAAAAAAATCCCCCGATTCATTCTACAAACAACTCGCGCCCCTTTATCATCAATTTTCGACGGATTGTAATTGAGGAAAAAATGTGACCACGGCATAAATGACGTTGAAATAGTTATAACATCTATAATTTAGGGATTTAAACCAAAAATAATTATATGAAACTAAAGTCGAAGATGTTTTGTTGGACACGAATTACTCAAAGCAACTAAAGTGCATCCATTCCCGTTATCTTCTTCATTAAATCCCACATTACTAGAGTATTACCAGATTAACGTTTCTTCCCTAGACTCTTAACTAGGTACAATACAATATATCATGTTCTACTACGATCTAATATTTGACAAACATAGATAGTTTGTCCAGGAAAATCGTGAATGGTAGCTATGGTGGAAATATGTCGCAAGATTCCCAATCAACATTGTTCATAGCATAATGCGATATCATGTTCCCGTGTCTGGATATATGATTTATTTAGGAACCTTTGTTAATTGTTTCTACAAGCATCTGTATGATTTACACAGAAAGAGAGCAATAAGTAGAACCTTTTTGAATAAAATGTTGAAACAGCATGCCATTGATTTTTTATATTCCAATTTAGTAGACGCATTGGAGACAATGAGAAACAAATGATTTAGACATGAGCCGCTTATGAGATGCTTTTTGACCTATAAGTCATATTTAACGAATCTGTTATGTATACTTGTTGGTCTTTTTATTTCAAATGATGAGTAATTTGCTTAGATACGTCTTCTCATCAATTAAGTGGCAAGTCACATGTATCATATCCCACAAAGAAAGGAAACTGTAACTTAATTGATGCAAAGTTCATATCGACAATTACGTATGGATATCAATTCGCAATTTGTTATGCAAGCTAGAACGTGACGTTCGTCAAAATACGTTTCATAACGAATAAATGTTCTGCCTGTGTACATAAAACTAAAAAATGATAGGGATCAAAAGCATATCCATGTTAGTCATAAATGGGTTGATTTACATAGATTTGATGAAGCAATTAGTAAGAGCGCCGGTAAAAGCCGCCGAACTATGGCTACGTAGAAACGAATATAATTATCCCACCTAACGAAGTCCGAGGGGATATAGAGAAGCCGTTCGTCCGTCCATCCGTTCGTCCGTGTGTCTGGGCGATAGCTCAAATATCGATCAAAGGGTTGATTCAAATTTTATAGACGTATCCCCTATGGGTGTAGGACCTATGTTCGAAAAGGAATTTCCAATATGGCCACTTAATTCAAAATGGCCGCAATTTTTCATAAAATGTAATATTAGATAACTCAAACACTAGAAGATGGATTTGGTTCAAATTTTATATGCTGATGCCTAGAGACGAAGGGGTTTTACTCAAGAAGACATTTTTAAGATGGCGCAAAATTTCAAAATGGCCACTATTTTCATAAAAACGTATTTTTTGTAAATCAAATACCATTGGAACTGTCATCTTTGATAATTTAAATACCAGTAGCGGATATGGTTCTAGTTTAATATGCTGATGCCAAGGAACAAGAGATCTGCTCGAGAAATTTTCAAGATGGCATCTGAATTTCAAAATGGCCGCCATTTTTCGGAAAAAAAGCTTTGAAAACTCAAATAACAGTAGACGGATTTGGTAGTTTGTGTACGTTTTTATAGACTTCTAAGCCCTCTCCATGAACATCTGTACACGTTCACACACGCGCACATACAAATACCCCCACCCTCACAACACACTACCAACATTATTCAAACGGACCCGTGTCTGCCAAAAGAGCATTTGCCTCAATGGTGAATGTTATCACTGGCATCAGTCTCAAAAATATTTTATATTGTACATGTTTATTTTGTTTTCTTGTGTATTTCCAGATGCAATATCCCAAATGAGGTCATATCACTGTTCTTTTGGATTGGATACTTCAACAGCATGATCAACCCGGTCATCTATGCTTACTTCAATAGAGACTTTAGAACGGCATTTAGGAAAATTCTCCATTTTGACCAGTGGCCATGTGCTCAGTCTGGCGCTACTGACGTTGGATCATTCTATGAGACCACCAACGGAGCACCTCTTGCCAATCAAACTTTGTTAAATGTGAATGTTAGGAAATCAGTATCAGTTTCGTCATAAATCAAAAACATTATTATCCTAGTGTCACCTTTGTAACCCCCAGTATTATCATATATCATTGACTATGACAATTGTCATATAACAACAGTGTAATCTTATCTGACAGTGTTGCGATTGTTGTTCAAATACCGTGTCATATTGTGACATAGCATTGTCGTCCTAGTGGGACAGTGTTGTCATCTAAGTTTGGCCGCATTGCCGCCCTATTTGGACAGTGTTGTCATCTTAGTGTGGCACCATTGTCGTCCTAGTGGGACAATGTTGTCATCTTAGTGTGGCCGCATTGCCGCTCTAGTGGGACAGTGTTGTCATCTTCGTGTGGCAGCATTGTCGTCCTAGTGGGACAATGTTGTCATCATAGTGTGGCCGCATTGTCGCTCTAGTGGGACAGCGTTGTCATCTTAGTGTGGCAGCATTGTCGTCCTAGTGGGACAGTGTTTTCATCTTAGTGTGGCCGCATTGCCGTCCTAGTGGGACAGCGTTGTCATCTTAGTGTGGCAGCATTGTCGTCCTAGTGGGACAGTGTTGTCATCTTAGAATGGCAGCATTGTCGTCTTAGTGGGACAATGTTGTCATCTAAGTGTGGAAGCATTGTCGTCTTAGTGGGACAATGTTGTCATCTTAGTTTGGCAGCATTGTCGTCCTAGTGGGACAATGTTGTCATCTTAGTGTGGAAGCATTGTAGTCCTAGTGGGACAGTGTTGTCATCTTAGTGTGGCCGCATTGCCGCCCTGGTGGGACAATGTTGTCATCATAGTGTGGCCGCATTGTCGCTCTAGTGGGACAGTGTTGTCATCTAAGTGCGGCAGCATTGTCGTCCTAGTGGGACAGTGTTTTCATCTTAGTGTGGCCGCATTGCCGTCCTAGTGGGACAGCGTTGTCATCTTAGTGGGACAATGTTGTCATCTAAGTGTGGAAGCATTGTCGTCTTAGTGGGACAATTTTGTCATCTAAGTGTGGAAGCATTGTCATCCTAGTGGGACAATGTTGTCATCTAAGTGTGGCCGCATTGTCGTCCTAGTGGGACAGTGTTGTCATCTTAGAATGGCAGCATTGTCGTCTTAGTGGGACAATTTTGTCATCTAAGTGTGGAAGCATTGTCATCCTAGTGGGACAATGTTGTCATCTAAGTGTGGCCGCATTGTCGTCCTAGTGGGACAGTGTTGTCATCTTAGAATGGCAGCATTGTCGTCTTAGTGGGACAATTTTGTCATCTAAGTGTGGAAGCATTGTCATCCTAGTGGGACAGTGTTGTCATCTAAGTGTGGCAGCATTGTCGTCCTAGTGGGACAGTGTTGTCATCTTAGAATGGCAGCATTGTCGTCTTAGTGGGACAGTGTTGTCATCTAAGTGTGGAAGCATTGTCATCCTAGTGGGACAATGTTGTCATCTAAGTGTGGAAGCATTGTAGTCCTAGTGGGACAGTGTTGTCATCTTAGTGTGGCCGCATTGTCGTCTTAGTGGGACAATGTTGTCATCTTAGTGTGGAAGCATTGTAGTCCTAGTGGGACAGTGTTGTCATCTTAGTGTGGCCGCATTGCCGCCCTGGTGGGACAATGTTGTCATCATAGTGTGGCCGCATTGTCGCTCTAGTGGGACAGTGTTGTCATCTTAGTGCGGCAGCATTGTCGTCCTAGTGGGACAGCGTTGTCATCTTAGTGTGGCAGCATTGTCATCCTAGTGGGACAATGATGTCATCTTAGTGTTGCAGCATTGTCGTCCTAGTGGGACAGTGTTGTCATCTTAGTGTGGCAGCATTGTCGTCCTAGTGGGATAATGTCGTCATCTTAATGTGGCCGCATTGCCGTCCTAGTGGGACAGCGTTGTCATCTTAGTGTGGCAGCATTGCCGCCCTAGTGGGACAGTGTTGTCATCTTAGTGTGGTAGCATTGTCGTCCTAGTGGGACAGTGTTGTCATCTTAGTGTTGTCATCTTAGTTTGGCAGCATTGTCGTCCTAGTGGGACAATGTTGTCATCTTAGTGTGGAAGCATTGTCGTCCTAGTGGGACAGTGTTGTCATCTTAGTGTGGCCGCATTGCCGCCCTGGTGGGACAATGTTGTCATCTTAATGTTGCAGCATTGTCGTCCTTGTGGGACAGTGTTGTCATCTTAGTGCGGCAGCATTGTCGTCCTAGTGGGACAATGTCGTCATCTTAGTGTGGCCGCATTGCCGCCCTAGTGGGACAGTGTTATCATCTTAGTGTGGCAGCATTGTCGTCCTAGTGGGGACAATGTTGTCATTTTATAGTTTGGCAGCATTGTCGTCCTCGTGTGGCAGTTTTCATATTAGTATGACACCAGTGGCCAATCGCTTAAAAATGTTCTGTTCACCTTTAGGTTGTGAAAAACGTTGCAAGCTTAAACTCCCTATTAGGCCATAAAATGGCTTGCCATCGATCAAAGAATAGTGCCATGGCCAGTTTATGAATTTATACTTCATTATTGTAATCTTTTGTTTGATCCTAACGTGGTTTACTTCGAAAATATTTTCCCATTATTATAACAGATTACTAGTAAATCCTACTCGGAGTGGCGGGGTATTCAGGGAGATACGTTTTGCTTATACCATAGTTTTCACGGTGGACAAAAGGACAATTAGTAAATATTTTACTATTATTACTGTATACAAGCTGAATACGTACTCGTATATCGATACGCCAAATAGGCGACAAAGTAAAGCACCATTCAATGAAGTGTTACGATATACAATACTACCACATCACTTATTAATATTGTGGAAATGGTCATAGAAAAGAATTGCTGTCCCTGGCTTTATACAGGAACCTAATTACAACTATATGTTTATACTCATTCGGGCAAATGAAGGACACGAAGGGACATACTTTGAGTCGAGAGGGAACCATAATATTTCACATTTACGTTCACGTTCTTCACATTCTCTTCTAGAGATGAAGGATTCAGATTCTCTTGGACTAAGTAGTGTAGATGATAGGACTTTTAATATCATTGTTAAATTTAGATCGAAACTACATCTTTTACTAGTCAAATATTACAAGCTATCAGCGTAGGTCTAGTCAGAGTCCATGAATCCTTGTATAGTGTATTGTATTAAAATTATGTTTATATACGCATTATATTTATGAACTTAAGGTGCCATGATACTTAAGAGGAAATGACGAAACAGGAAGTGTCAAAAAATGTTGCATTTTTAGACATTTTTTGAACAAAGATAACAGAGTTTTGTTTTGACCTCCAGTCAATTTAACTATTTCCACATATCATTTACATGACCAGGATCACAATGTGCATGGTCAGAATGACCCTAAACATGATGAAATAACCTTTTCAGCCCTTTGAAAATGTGTCTGAAAAATAGTTGAAAGTAGGAGATAGGGAAGGTCACTGAACAGAATCTTTTGAATTTTTCAGAAAATGTGGCCAATATAATGTGCTAATTGATACAATCTCATCTCTCAACCCCATTTTTACTTTGCGTGTCACAACTTTTTATTAGACAATGACGGATGCTAAAAAATCCATTTAAAAGTCCTACTAATCCTGCAAGAATCAAAGCTACTCCTTGGATAATTGCCTTGAAAAAAATAAGTGAATATAAGAAAAATGACATTTTAGCTGAGACTGATTTTATGCGTGACTATAATTGACCCCTATTGCTTTAACATTTATCCCTCTGTGTTCATATATTTGGCATTTTAGAATCAATCTAAAATATAAAACTTATTTTAGCTAATTTTTAGGAAGATTTAAGCTTTCTAGCATGTCAAAATTCATGAAATATAGTGTCTAAAATTGATAAGTTATAGGTATACCCTTGGAAGACCCCTATAATTTCTTATTTATGAACATATTTGTACCAATATTAGTTTTCTGGCTTAGAGAAATAATGTATGATATATTATGGCTTGACTTTCTGGTGGTTTGAACAAGCTTAGGTGTTATCATTGAAAATTCATTCTTAAATCATAGGTGTGCAATCGATTAAATTCAAGTATACCATTAGTATCATTCTACTGGTACAGGGTGTCCAAAAACTTCAGAATTATTTAGTTCATTCAATGTGAATTTTGTTATGAAAGTTTAAAGATAATCTGCCTGTGGAATCAAAAACTACAGCACTTTACAACATATGTCCAATGTGGCCACTTCTCCTCTACATACACAATCAAATCTGGCGAAGGAAGTTGTTCAATTGTCCATGGCATGACTAAAAAATTCTCAGATGTTCTTCTTTACACGCCTAAACCTTTAAGTGGAAAGTTTCATCAGAAGCTTCGTTTCACCAACAGCTTCGTTTGCCGGAGTGGTGGTAACATGGGGTATGTGTTGTAAAGTGCTGTATTTTTTACTTTAGAAGCAGATTATCATTAGACGTTCACAACAAATGAAGTAAATAATTCTGAAATTTTAAGGCAAAATATGCAAGATTGACCAAAATAATCAACCTTTCTTCGGTCCTATTTTTTGGACACCCTGTATGAGCGTACTTGAACTAGCTTTGATTTCATTGATTAGTTGTTTGATGTATGACATATTCCTAGCTGACTTTATGTTTACTTTAACCATCTAAGAGGCTTAATCTGTTACGCGGTATATGGCATACATTCATGGTTGCGCGGTATTTGTGATACGGGTGAATATGCCATACTCACCTGCGGTATATGGCATATTCTGCAGGTGAGTTTGCGATATTCCGCAGTGAATATGCGAATATGCGATTTCAGTGAATACCCGATACTCACCTGCGGAATATGTCATACTCACTCGCGGAATATGCCATATACCGCGGGTGAATATGACATATACCGCAGGTGAAAACGTGATACAGAAAGCCTTGATTTGATTGGTTGCGAGAATCGACTCTAAATGTAAAACTACGCTGAATTACCGATATAGTTAGTGCGTCGAGTACTAATATATGAATCCTGGATTGATTGAGTAAGTTTATTACGCGAGATTGGTGACTGATACTTCTGTTAAGTTAATATATTCAACACACAGTACTGTTGATTCAGTAATCATTATCTATAACGATTTACTTGTTCGTTCAATCGATGCAATTGACAATTGCGTACTTCCGTATCACGTTCTCATTGGTTAGTGTGTATGCCATATACCGCAGGTGAATCTGTCATACACCGCAAGTGAGTATGCCATATTCGTTGCGGAATATGACATATTTTTGTATCGTGTTTACCGCGTAATATTATCATTGAAAATCATTACAACTAAAGGTCTAAACAGACAAGGAAGACAAGGCTAACTTCATTCTGGTGGTGAAACATGGACATGGTCTAAATCTTGCTATACTTCACCCTAGCC